TGCATTTCCAAGTAGGGGGTGCACATGAGACACGCGTGCACCCTTCCCGTGCCGCCATTTGCGGCAGCAGCTGTCAATCAACGGGTCCCAGCTGGTGATCACTCGCCAGCGCCTGGTGATTTCAGATGATCCCCGACGGGGGGGAGAACTGTTTTGTTTACTAACAATTCTCCTTCCTGTTAGATAGGGCACGCTGCTTTGGATGGCTGTGCTGTGTGCTTACAGTCAAACGCACTGACTGGTCTTTTTTTTTTTTTTTTTTTTATAGCGCAAAAAATGCACAGGCGATCAAATACCACTGAACGAAAGCTCAATTTGTGGGGAAAAAAAGGACATAAATTTAATATGGGTGCAGCGTTGCATGACTGCGCAATTGTCAGTTAAAGTAAAGCAAACAATGGCCTGGTCAGATAGGGGGGTAAATCCTCAGGAGGGCAAGTGGCTAGTATGGGATATATTGCTGTATTACCCAACATTGGTAAACAGAGTAACCTTCAGACTTTACAAATGCAAACCAACACTGAAAATAGAACCCATAAGATTTTTTGAATGGTCATTTTAAGGATTATTTTTGCACTACACTGAAACATGTAAGAAGTGCAGAAAAAAAAGAAAAATTAAACACAAAAGAATTAGATAGTAAATGATGCCCAACCGCCTCAGTGTATGTGTCATTATTTGGAATTGGTCCAACACGTATGTCTTTTAATGTCTCATTACGCATTCTTTACACAGTTTACACACCGTCTGCTCTGTTTGTTTTTTCTTTTATTTGCGAATGCTGGATATTTAACTGTAAAGTCATTTGCAGTTTTTACAGACATGCTGACTGCTGTTTGCCATATCTTTTTTTTTCTTCCAAGGCCCCCCTACCTCCCCTCTTGCAGTCACTGCAACTGAGAATATAGATAGTAACTGGCCTTATTTACCGAGATATCTGAGAAAAAACTTCCAAGGCCATCTGTTCTTCTTTATAGCATCCAACCAGAATCAGAGCTGCAAAAACTTAAGTTGAAGGGTGAACATTTGAATCTGATTGGATGCTATGGCCAATACAGACAAATGTTCTTCTTGCAAATACTTTAATAAGTGTCAAAAGATGTGATTAACTAAAGGTGGGTTTATTCAGCCAATAAGGGAAAGTAATGTTCACTGTCCATCATCTGAAAAACATTGTGCTTGTTTACTTGTGTTTCCCTCTTATGAGTGTGTTTGCATGGATAAATACGCCTCTAATCAGAGATGATCTATGGAAATATCTTACATCAAAACCAAATCAAATAATTTGTTTCAGCACGATGTTGGTTTCCCCCCCCCCCCTCCAAAAAAAATGAAATAACATAGTGAAAGAAATCATAGAATTCAAGTAGATGAAAACCCTTACTGACTGTTCAACAAATTTTTATTTTTTGCCAGTTTTGGAAACAAAAGGATCCATTTCTTAATGAATTTCACATTCTGAGTTCAAATATAACAATGAAATTTGTCAATTGGCTCTAGTTTTTCTGTAAATGGAAAGTTTTCTACTATAGGCGTAATGACTACATAATGCACAATAATTATATAGATAGATGTCTTTCCACAAATATAAAGCAAGTGATATTGACTACATAACAAAGCCTAAATGGCATAATATATTGCATAGGATTACCAAGAAAAATTATAACCATAAGCTAAGTTGAATCATTTTAATACTTAGGATTCTCACTAGTTTTGTCTTCAGTTTGTGTCGGTTTTGCTTCTCTTGGCTTTTCTCTTGTATTCGAGGAAAGGGCTATCTCTTACAACTGCACGTGACTACACGCTTCAGGTTCTTCCTCACTTGACTCAACCACGAAGGATTCTGGTGCTTTAGGAATTGGTAGCCCCTCTCCATAAGGAACTGGACGTATTGCCGATGGAATATTTGGATAGTGCACAGATAACTTTTTCTTCTTATTTAGCCCTTTTACAATTGGAGGCACCATACAAAAGTAACAATTACTAACATGATCTGTTGGCTCTCTCAAAATCATTGGCACAGCGAAAGGCATAGATGCCTTTTTTCCATTCAACCATTGCTCCAGTGCCGTCCCACAAGAATTGCAGCATATATGTGGTGCCCAGCTCTTGTCCTGGTCTCCTATCTTGCAGCCAAAATACAAGTTGTAGGCTTTCTTAATCATTCCTGTTATCCTCCTTTTTTGTGAGATAAAAGTTATTTCACCGCAGATATAGCAGAAATTATCTGCTTTATTCACACAAGTTCGAGGCATTACTGAGTAGCCTATATAAGCATAAAACGAAATGTAAAGACGCTGTCGAACTACAATCAGCTACAGATACTGCAGCTTTTATGCAGTGAAGTGATGCAATTAAAGGCTAATATTGCATCATCTCAGTATACATGCAATTTTCTATTGGTCACCAGTATCAATTGCGCAATATGCAGCTGAAGTTGCATCATAATTTTGAATGGCTTACGTCATTAGATGGGTGAATATATCATGGAAACTAGAGCCAATCAACATTTTTTAGGGTCATTTTCGTTTTCAGCACCCCAAAATTATGTAAGATTAGCTAATTTTATGCCCAAAAACTTTTTACCTGTTGAACAGTGTAACATTTAGTTTGCTAAAATCTCAGTGTAACAAATAACTGCCACCACCTAAAATAGCCTCAGGAGTGCATTTTACAGGATGACAACTCAGAAACATGATTGGGAGAAAGTTGTCACCACATATAGAAAATACCTAAACAAGGACTTTCATGGTAGGATCACCTGCTATTTTCTAATGAAACTAGTGGATTAAAAAAAAAAGCGTTTGAAATTGTATGCTTATGTGATATTTTAGTGATTGGGTTAACATGCTTGTTGTTTCAAAATAAATATGTAACACAACCAATGTAACTTAGAACCATGCATGGGTACACACTTTCCCTTTTGAGCTGTCAGACTTGGGCCTCGCCAAGCCACCCCACTAATTTCTTTACAGTGTAGTTTCGGGGGTTTAGACATATTTGACCAATGCTGCAGGCTTGTTGCACATTGGGTGGCAGTGCCACTGTTTAAGCTGACCTGATGCACTATATACAGTGTGTATGTGTATATATATATATATATATATACATATATATATACAGTATATACATACATATACATATACACACTGCTCAAAAAATTTAAAGAAACACTTTCAAAGCACATGTTCTATTGGATTTAGGTCAGGCGAGCGTGGGGGCCATTCAATGGTATTAATTCCTTCATCCTCCAGCATCTACCTGCATACTCTCGCCACATGAGGCCGGGGATTGTCATGCACCAGAAGGAACCCAGGACCCAATGCACCAGCGTAGGGTCTGACAATAGGTCCAAGGATTCCGTCCCAATACCTAATGGCAGTCAGGGCGCCATTGTCTAGCCTGTAGAGGTCTGTGCATCCCTCCATGGATATGCCTCCCCAGACCATCACTGACCCATCACCAAATCATGCTGAATGTTACAGGCAGCATAACATTCTCCATGGCTTCTCCACACCCTTTCATGTCTGTCACACGTGCTCAGGGTAAACCTGCTCTCCTCTGTTAAAAGCACAGGGCGCCAGTGGCAGGCCTGACAATGCTGGTGTTCAATGGCAAGTGCCAATCAAACTCTATGGTACCGGGCAGGGAGCACAGGGCCCATTAGATGACATCGGGCCCTCAGGCCGCCCTCATGAAGTCTGTTTCTGATTGTTTGTTCAGAGACATTCACACCAGTAGCCTGCTGGAGGACATTTTGTAGGGCTCTGGTAGTGCTCATCCTGTTCCTCCTTGCACAAAGGGGCAGATACCGGTCCTGCTGATGGGTTAAGGACCTTCTGGGGCCCTGTCCAGCTCTTCTAGAGTAACTGCCTGTCTCCTGGAATCTCCTCCATGAGCTTGAGACTGTGCTGGGAGACAGAGGGAACCTTCTGGCAATGGCATGTATTGATGTGCCATCCTGGAGGAGTGGGACTGCCTGTGCAACCTCTGTAGGGTCCAAGTATAGTCTCATGCTACCAGTAGTGACACTGTCCCTAGCCAAATACAAAACTAGTGAAAAACAGTCAGAAAAGATGAGTAGGGAAAAAAATGTCAGTGGCCACCACCTGTAAAACAATTTCGGTTTTGGGGGTCGTCTCATTGTTGCCCATCTAGTGCGCCTGCTGCTATTTTCATTAACACCAAAGCAACTGAAACTGATTAACAGCCCCCTCTGCTACTTAATTGACCAGATCAATATCCTAGGATATGCTATACTCTGATTAAAACGTGTTCCTTTAATTTTTTTGAGCAGCGTATATACAAAATTTATTTATTTATTTTTGCTGTACATATAAGTGGATATACCTACTTGATGCATTACCCTAGATTTTAATATATACAAGGTTCTAACCATGGACTGAATTCGTTTCCATCCTGCTAGACAACATTATTGCCGAAACATTGGGGTATTGTGAGAGAAATCAAAATGAAATTCTGTTTGTGTACTCAGCTGGGTGTGTCAGAGAGTCGAAGGGGCAAAGAAGGTCAAAGCCAGCATCAGCAAGAGCAATATTTGGTGCACTAAGAGGAAAAAGACCAAATGGATTATGTGATGGCTAGTGTATGAACCACAGTCCTTAAAGTCCAAAGGTGTCAAAGGATGTCATAGGGATAATACAATGCTTGACTCAGTGGCAGCCGATTCAGAAAGAGCTAGAAGAGACTTTGTGTGAACCATAAAAAGAGAAAAGTATCTAAGTGGAGCAATAAAAACAAATAATTTATTTCTACAAAATTGGCAACTCACAATAATAGTAGTCAAATGAGCGCTTGTCAAACTGGTGTCAACCGCTGTACAACTCCTGGCAGATCCCACTGCAGGCAGGTCTCAGATGCACTGTCCTTGGCTGTGTTGGTTGTTCCCAGTACTTCTTGGTCAGTGTGGATCCACAGGAGAGGCGGGAGTGATGTCAGCTCCAGCAGCAGTAGGCGTGGTGGGGGAGGGGATGGGGATATTACTTGCCACTGGTGTACTTGGTGAAGGCCTTGGTGCCCTTGGATTTGGTGTGCTTGGCCAGCTCTTTGGGCAGGAGGAGGTGGACAGCAGTCTGGATATCCTGGGAGGTGATGGTGAAACACTTGTAATGAGCCAGGTGGGAAGCTTCGCCGGCAAGGAGCTCGAAGATGTCATTGACGAAAAAGTTCATGATGCTCATGGCCTTTGACGAGATGCTTTTAGACACACCAGTAGGCATGACACGCATTCATCAGGCTGAAGAGGGGGCATATAATAGCAAATGATAGTGGCGGACTATAGCACCCAGCCAACTCAGGGAGACGCTCAATTGTCATCATTGGTTAGTACAAAAACCATATCAAGCCTCTCTCTTTCTTAACCGCTTCCTGCCCGTCCACAATGTAATGTGGCCAGGTGGCAGCTACAGGCAAAGCAACATAACCATAAGTCACTCTGGCTGTACTAAAACGAGGGGCGCTGCGCAGTGCGCAGTGTTGCCCCCCTTCATGACTGCTGTGTCCAGCAGACACAGCGAAATGCAGATCCCGGTGAACGGGACCAGGTGATCATGTGTTCGTTAAGCGATCACATGAGCACAATGTCAGAAAAGCTGTTATGAATCAAGCTCAATCATAAGAGCTGTGTGTCTCTCCTCCTAGTGAGCTGTGATTGTACCACAGCTGTCACATGATACATGGGGCCAATCACAGCACCCTGTACCATGTGACCAGCTCTAGCCAATCACAGATCACTATCTTGAGCTGTCAAAAACCTAACTCATTCTTGACAGTTCATGAATGAGCTAGGTTCATGACCGCAAGCTTTGCATTGCAGGAGAAATTATCTTTATTTCTCCTGCAAAGCAAAATGTAATAAATAAATAAATAAATGAGTCCCTGATCACCCCCCCCCCTTTCACAGTAGTACAATGTTACTATGGTAACATAGTATTATTCTGAAAAAAGTATTTTAAAAAATGTAAAAAAAAATAAATAGAATAACAAAATACCATATTAGAAATTTCAAGGGTTTTTTTTTTTTTTTTTTTTTAACCACTTGACAACCTCTTACCCGCATTTTTCGGGCGAGCAGTAGCTCTTAGCGACGTAATCTTGTGTCGCTTCCTGTTTTGGGGTGTGAATGCACCCCCTGCTCCCCCCCCCCCGGTCTGTCCAGGGAGAGAAGAGAGAACACGGCACCAAGTAAAAGCACTACATTTTACACACACATTAGATTAGCACATTTAACCCTTTGATTGCCCCTATTAACCCTTTGATCGCCTTGTCACCCAGCCAGTGCCATTAGTACAGTGTCAGTATATAACATTTTTCATCATCAGTTTTTTTGATCATTGCATTCCTGCCGCTAGTGACTTCAGATAACGTCAGGGTCAGTAAGCGCCCCACCCAGCCAGGGTCAGCTAGCGTAAAATTGCCCACACACTATTACACTCACGCTATAGGTCGCTGATCACCCCCATTACTAGTATAGTGTTTGTACAGGTCAATATAATGTTCATGAACAGAACTATACTAGTGCCTGCTTAGTATAGTGTTCCCAAAAAAGCAGTGTTAGCGGGATCAGCCCCATTTGCTGCCAATACTAGCGTTTAGTTCTTCCGCTATTTTTCACGGAAGATTTGTACCAATTGATTGTGGGCCAAAGCAATTTATACACACAACAATACATGGGCCGCACACCCAAATTCAGCTCTTGCCAGACAATTCGCATGGAAACCTATCACGGTTTCTGAATTTAAAACTTTTTTGGGCCTAACCCTCAACATGGGCATTACAAAAAATAATGAATTGCAGTAATATTGGTCCATAGACCCAATACATCGTATGTCTGTGTTCTCTGCTGTTACATATATACACAATGTGGACCAACAATGTACTGGTAAGTCGCTGGACTTTGAGTGGTTATACCGAGATGATGCCTTCAGCTACAGGCATCATCCTAGTATAGTTTTTTTCAGCTGGTGGTCAACTTTCGTGTAAAAGCAATCCTAGTAGCCAATTAGCAGCTGAATTGTTTTTACGAGCAGCGGGAAGGGACACCCCCCCTCTTCTGCAGCCTTCCACAGGTTTCTTGGGCTCTCCTGTCCCACAGGGGAATCCGAGAATGAAGCTGGCAGATCCGCTGGCTGACCATAGAGTAGAGCTGATCAGAGACCAGAATGGCTCGAATCATCTCTATAGTCTAAGAAATCGGAAGCTACAAGCATTTCATCACTTAGCTTCACAGGATATAAACAGCGCCATTTGTAAATTGGGAAAGCATCTGATCACATCGGTCTTGGTGAGATCAGATGATGTAAGGGCAGAAAATATATCTAGAGTCTAACAGACGCCAGATTTCTCAAAAAAGAATACCTGTCAATGCCTATTGCAGTCAGAGGGGATATTTACATTCCCCTTTAATAGCAATAAAAGTGATTAAAAAAAATAGAAAGGGACAGTGTAAAAATAATTAAAAAATCAAACTAACTAAAAAGAGAAAAAAAAGCACCCTTGCCCCCTGCGCACGTTACACCTGCGTGCGCAAGCATTGGCCCCCCGTGCCGGTATGTATACAGAGGTTGCACCATGTATGTGAGGTATCACCGCAAACATCAGATTGAGGGCAGTAATTCTAGCACTAGATTTCCTGTGTAAATATAAATTGGTGACCAGTAAAGGCTTTAAAAGCGTCGCCTATCGATTATAAAAATGTATGTATTTTATGCCATTGCACGGGCATGCGCAATTTTAAAGCATGTCGTGTTTGGTATATATTTACTTGGCGTAGCATCCTCTTTTATATTGCATCAAACAATTGGGCAATATATTGTGTTTTTGTGCATTAGAATTCTAAAAAGTGTATTTCTCCTAAAAGATTTGCGTTTGAAAAATCACTGCGCAAATTCTGTGTGACGTAAAACATTTCAGCACCCACCGTTTTATTCTCTAGGGCTTCTGCTTTAAAATTATATATAATGTTTGGGGGTTCAAAGTAATTTTCTAGCAAACAAAACAGTTTTTTTCATGTGAACAAAAGGTGTCAGAAAAGGCATGGTCTTCAAGAGTGGGTGATGTGTGGCATAAGCTTCTAATGTTGGCCCTGAAATACCAGGATAGTAGAAGCAACCCCTCCAAATGTCCATTTTTGGAAAATAGACACTCCAAGGTATTTGCTAAAAGGCATTGTGAGTATTTTGCAGATCTCATTTGTTGCCACATCTTTTTGGAAAATGAAGAAAGAAAACAAAAGTGTATTTCTTCTTTTCTGTTTTTCTTTTTTCAAAACCCTGTGACAAAAATGGTATCTGTAAAATACTCACCATGTCTCTCTTATCAGATTAGGGTGTCTACTTTCCAAAAAAGGGTTTTTTTGTACTATCCTGGCATTTTAGGGCCTCCGAAACTGTGATAGGTAGTGGGGAAGTGATATGAGGAAATGTGCCCTTTGACAGCCTGGAGGTGGTCATTGGATTTTGGGAGCCTGTATGTAGCTAGCCTGCCAAAAAGTCTCTCACATGTGGCATCCCCATAGTTGGGAGAAGTAAAAGAATGTGTTTTGGGGTGTAATTCCACATATACCCCATGGCATAAATGAGCAATATATCAGTAAAGTGACAACTTTGTGTAAAAAAAAAAAAATAAAAAAAAAATAAAAAAAATGGTAATTGTCAAAAAATTTGTGGCAAAAAATAAAATGTTCCATGGACTCAACATGCCTCTCTGCAAAATCCTTGGGGTATCTACTTTCCAAAAAGGGGTAATTTGGGGGGGGTTTCGTACTGCCCTGACATTTTAGCACCTCAAGAAATGTGATAGGCAGTCAGAAAGTAAAAGCTAAGTAAATTCCAATATAATATACCATAGTTTGTAGATGCTACAAACTTTCAGACAAACCAATTAATATACATGTATTGAGATTTTTTTTTTACCAAAAAGACATTTGGCAGAATACATTTTGGCCTAAATTTATGACTAACTTTGAGATTATTGGATATTTTTTATAATCAAAATTTTTGGTATTTCTTTGTTCATAGCGCAACAAATAAAAACCTCAGAGGTGATCAAATAACACCAAAAGAAAGCTCTATTTGTGTGCAAAAAAGGACATAAATGTTGTTTGTTTACAGCATTGCACGACCGTGCAATTACCAGTTGAAATAGCACAGTGCCAAACAGCAAAAAATGGCCTGATCATGAAGGGTGTAAATCCTCTGGAGGGCATGTGGTTAAACTAATCGCTCTTAAATTAAAATCCAATAAATAAAATACAATAAACATATGAGGAGGACATTAACCGCTTTAAGTCCGCTCTATAGCAGTAATATTGCGACAGGGCGGACTCTCTGCACAAAATTATGTATATATACGTGATTCGTGCTCTCACTGTGATCATGGGCTGAGGGCGCATTCACGTGCCTGCCAGCCCGGCAGTGCCGTAATTCGGTGCCTGATAGATCAATCAGTAGATTCAGGCCAGTGATGTTTGGCCTGGATCTGCTCATTGATCCCTGCCCTGTCAGACATCTTCCTGTACCTGTGTTTACATTTACACATGTACAGGAAATTATGCAATCTTCTCTCCCTGGGCACATTCCGTCCCAGAGAGAGAAGAAAGCAGATCCACGTAAGTAAAAGCAGCACACAATTACAGTAAAATCACAGCTAGGTCACATTTAACCCCCTGATCGCCCCCCAGTTAACCCCTTCACTGCCCTGTCACCAGTGACATTAGTACAGTGTACAGATTTTTGTTACTGATCACTTCAGATAGCGTTAGCGTCAGTTAACATCCCTCCCAGATAGCGTCAGATTCCCCGTCACTACATCAGTCATCACATTTAACCCCTTGATTGCCAGGAACACGCTCACATGCACAATAAACCTCCATTGCTAGTATAGTGTCTGAACGGATCAATATCTTTAATCAGATCAGAACCATACCAGCGTTCACATTAGTATAGTGTCTCCAAAAAATGCAGCATTAGGGGGATCAGCCCGGCACCTGCCTTTAGCCCCAAGCTTACCCCCCTTCTCATATGCAGCAGAGTGCCAGGGCTAGTGCCGCTCTACCTGCAGTATCACTTGGTGACGTGGCGAGTTCCATAAGTGCAGTACAAGCCGGTGCGGTGGCGAGCACAAGTAGTGTCCCGCGGCCACCAAGAATTCGTACACAGGCCCGTAGAGCCCCTAGTGTCTTTCCTGATGTGCTTGCAAATCCTGATATGCAGCCCACAAATTCTGCAGCACCCATACTTCCCCCACTCACTGCCCAACCCGGAATTCAGGTGGAAACAGCAAATTTAATTACTGATGTAAGGATAGTGGAGCGAGCGCTGATATTGGTATCGGTAATAAGCAGTTGAACACACTAAAGGGTACACCAAAAAAGCCCTCAAAATGAATCAATATAAAAATAGTGCAGCGCTAAATAAATGATTAATATCGTCTACCAAGCACATGTATATGATAGATGCGTTTTGTGCCACAAATAGTACTGAGGAATATTACTCAGAAAATGAGCATATAGAATAAAGTAAAGTGCAAATATCTGTAAGAAACATATAGTCATGACGAGTATGTTGATATAAAATGTCCAAAATTATTCTTAAAACTGATGCAATCTTCAAAAAACTTCTATATAGTCCCAGAATACTGATTCCATAACCTGGTTATACTTGAAAGCTGCCATATCTGGATGACATCTTCATCTGATCCATGAGGCTGTGATGATCCTTTGGTTGAAGCAGAATTTGTGATAATACCCTCGCCGGGAGGTGTAAAGGTATATTATTTACATATTTTTGCACTTTAAATCCCTCAGTACCATCTTCAGTGAATGTACCATCTTCAGTGAATATCCCAGCATCCTGGAAAAGCTTGATTATTGGCACTGGCTATCAACTCCCAGTACCATTGGGAAGATCATCCAATCCCCGGCTACACACCTGATTACACCCGAAGGACCAGGGCATGTTCAGGAGCTTATGATACAACGCGTTTTTTTATTAGT